CTTCAAATATAAAAAAACCAGAAAATCAACTCACTTTGTCTGGCATGGAAGGAAATTGACAAGGAATATTGAATTCTTGATACAAATATAAGTATCAACTTCTTGTATGTGTCATTAACATAACGTAAAACAATAACAAGGAATAAATAATTAGTTAGAACGCCACATGACACGAATTTAATTTCAAATGAATATAAGACTAACCTTCCCTCCAGGAAGGCCACCTTTTCCAACAACACGAACGGGAGGACAGTTTGTGCCCATAAAGCAATCAACATCAGCACCAAGCTGCTTAAGTCCAGTAACCAAATCTCCAATGGGCCTCTCTCTCATGCGAGGAACCCCGTCAAGTACATACCTGCAAGCCCACCAAAATTACAGTGCACATATCAGTAAAAAAAACTTAATTCGTTGAGTGTCTCTCAAAGATTTGACATTTGTTACAATAATGAAAACTTATAATGGTCAAGAAGATCAGTGACTACTGACTAGTCGTGAAATGAAAAAGGATATACTTGTAAATAAGTGAGATCACTTTATGATATAATATAACACTCCTAAAAAGAAAAAAGAAAAAAGAAAACCGATATACGTCGAGTTTCCACCAGCAGCAACAACTGCAGCAGTTAATGGACGCATAGCAGTCCCTGCATTGCCTAAGAAAAGCTCGACTTCTTTTTTGGCTTCGTTCGAGACTGGAAATAGGCCACCACAGCCACGCACAATTGCTCGTTGGTTAGCTTTATCGTCCTCTACATGAAGCCCGAGAGTTCTAAGGGCACCAAGCATATAATGAATATCATCACTGCTTAGTAAGTTATCCACAGTTGATGTTCCCTGGCAAAGAAGTTCACAGCAGGCAATAAGTGAACTATAACTAGTATTAACTTTGGGCTCACACATTAGCACGAACTACTTTTTCGACCTGTGATTTAAGGCAATATAAATTCATGCCGGCTTAAGTATCAGTGCAAAGGAATTATAGTACTCTTCTTCAAAAATCCCACGAGCCATTGTTAATTCAAGAACTAAGCGCAACGAGTGAACTAAAATGGGTTTTGTTAAGTTCCCAAAAATGTAACAGAAACAAGAAGTGACATCGTAAGTAGCTCTAGTTCTTCTGGAACCCCAAAGCTTCTTTAATGACATCAAAATACTATCACACTGAGCTAATTACATGTTCAATTATAGTTGAAACCTACCTCAAATCATACTTGATATGGGTGCAAAGTGCAAACACAGATATCTAAACACCCATATATGAACTCAAGGACATAATCATGTACTTATTCACAAAAATAAAACCAATACAATCTTGAGGTCTCATAAATAAAACTTAAATCGCAACTATTTCACTTTTTCCATTTCTAAGATGCACTCAGCAAAATAACAATATGACAAAACCGACACATTTTCAACTTCGGAAACAGATAAAAAATGCAGCACATCTTCACACACACACACATTTGGGAATTACAACCAAGCCATTGAAAGATTCTCAATTGCAAAATCAAAACTAGGCACAAGTAAGAAAACTACCTCAGACAGAGCAGCTAGAAGTAAAATACGGTTAGAGAGTGACTTAGAGCCCGGCAACCTAACGGTGCCAGAGATTTCTTTGATGGGCTGCAGCACGATCTCCGGCATCGTCGATGGCTTTTCCGCCGTCGCGACCGAGGCCAAAACCTTCATTTGACTTGTCCTCTCGACCGTAAATGTCGAATTTTTATACACAGCCCATGATTTTTTCGACAAATTAGAACCGAAATACAACGAACGCGAAGTCGAAACAGAATATCTATTATTAGCATTGGGGGTCGGGATTTTGGGCGAGAAGAGCTTGTGCGCCATGTTGGTAGCTTGCGCCATTTCTTGCGAGAACAAATGGGTTTGAAGAATCCAAAAATGAAATTTGTCCGGTCCAAAAGGGAGAGCTTTTTTTGTTCTTTTTCCTTAATTTCTTGTGGGTTTTTTCTGAGGTTTTCAGGATTCAAGAGCTGCGACCAAGTTCTTGTTGGGATGATGGTGTTAGGTTTGTTTGTAATTTGTAGCGTCACTGGTATGTTCTCACCAACCACATTAGTCTGCCAAAGATCGATTTTTTGGATGGTCAAAATTAGAAAATAACATTTGAGAAGGATAACTGTGATTTGTGATTTGTGAGTGTAAAGAAATGTTTTTAGAACATGAGTAAAAATTTGGATGTCTGTTTAAATGTTCAATAGTTAAAAAAAAAAAAATCTAATTTGTAATTTCAATTTGTTTTCATGGTCAAATGACCTTAAAATTTAGCTTAATTAAGAAAAATCACAACCAGCTCAACTTCTGTTGGTGCTTTGCAAATTGCAGCTCAACTCAAGGTGGGATTTTTAGTAGAAATCTTGAACGACATTTAAATATCGTGTACATTTTAAACTCACTGAATCACTGAACAATACTTTTTTTTAATCCGTTGCTATATTAGAGAATAGACGCTATGCATTACTATTTAATAATCCAAAATTGATTTTTTTTTCGCGAAAAACAAACTATCTTCATTCAGTTAACCATCTGATCGTACAAAACAAAAAAAAAAGATAGAAAAGAAGGGAGAGACTCTTTCCACAAGAAAAATTTTGTCGACCTGATCGCCCATTTAGCTATACTATGAGCTATAACATTATGTTCACGACTAACGTGACAACATAATTCACAATTCAATGATGACAAAAGACCAACAATATCAGCAAAAACATTGTGTAGAGGGTCATTAGGGTGATTGTTTAAGATGCCAGAAATAGTAGTAAAAAATAATCCACAATTAGTGTAATGTTACATGTTATCCGTTCATCCAAGCGACGTAAACCATTATCCCATTGAATTCGGAGTGAAAAACTTTATGCTTTCTATTTTTTTTTTTTTTTGTAAACATGTTCATGCATCAACAATACTATGTTATATTAAGCTAATGTAATGTCGTGATTGCATCATATTTATCATCTTCCGCTTGGTCACCATGTAAATGTCAACTAAAGATCAAAAGAAGAAAAAATAAAAAGTTAAAATTGAAGGAGAAGATGGATAGTGTCCCATGACTTTTTACTCTCTAATCTACACAAATATATACACATATCTATGCGGGTATGTACGAAATTAAGGCTAAAAAATCTCTGGGTCATTGCCCTTGAGGGCAACTACGAATTTTCCGGTTCAACTCTACCTTGAAATTTAATGACACTGAATTTTTAATGACTATAAGGGCTAAAGATCACATAACTTTTAGTACTTTTCAATCAATATCCATAAGTAGTGCTTAAATTAAATTTTGTAGGTAGAATACCTTCTCAAAAATACCTTTTTCATCGATAATTTTAGTATGAAACCATCTAGTAGTTGGACAGAAATGTATTTTGTATATAAAAATAAAGTATTTACACTTTTTGTTATTATTGCTGGATTGGTTGTAGGACTTGCTTCTATTGAACTTGGGGTTGGTCAAAGGGACTATTGCAAGCCAGACTATAGAGGGTATCGCAAAACAGCCCGTGGCAGAAGGAAAAATACGAGGTATAGTTTTATACATATTATTTATTAAATTATTGATACTTTTTTTATAAAAATATATGACATAATTATGTTGCCTACAATCATATCAACTTTATATCCAAATTTTATTGTATCTTAATTCTTGAAGTCCTCTTGAAGTGCAAATTACTTTACTATAATAATATAATTGCGTATGCACTTTTCTGCAGTGAAGTCCAAGAAAATTGTGCTCATTTGGTCTAAACCTTGAACTGTTGAACTTCAATAAAGAAAAACGCCAGAGCACGGCCACCTACCTCACCCACCAACTACGGCCACCAACCACCACAATATTTGGCAATTTACTTAAATTAATAATGATTTTTTTTTTTATGAATTATGTATCTTGTGTACAGCTTATAAAAACCTTAATAGTGAATTTGGCTGGTCAGTCGTGACATGCTTTCCCCTAACAGTTTACAAATGTGTTAATGTTTACCCATTTACATGAATGTTTTAATAGTTAATTATAGGATATACGTTGATCCAATGTCAAAGCAAGAAATAGGATGAAACTTACAATACAACCGATAGAAACAAATGTAACATGTTTTAGCTTTCCAGCGAAACATAAATGATAGTTCGGTAGCTGATTTGTTGGACTGAAACATAAATGACAGTTCGGTAGCTAATTTATTCAACTGTTTAGTTGTTATCTAATATGTATTTTGTATTATGTACAAAAATCTNCATGAATGACAACATGTTATAGCTTTCAACATATCCAAACATAGAAGTGTCCAAATATTTCATAACCAACCAAGCGGGGGAGCTGAAATGAGAAATCCTCAACTACCACCACACATAATAACCTTCCATTCAACAACCACACACTAGTAGATAGCTAATCACTTTCTGGATTGAGTGACCCTACACTTTGAATTGCTTGTAAGGGCCTCAATTTCCTAAAGTGATTAGGTTTGCCCTACCTTTTCTTCAATACATGGCTTGAATTCATAACCTAATCCAATTCAAAAATTAAGGCAGGAACTTTAAAACAAAACCCCTCTTAGCCACTTAACTCCGGACTCCATTACTCAAGCAAAAATGTGCTCGCCCGAGCGCACATTCAAAGATTTAAAAACAAGAACGAAAGTTAAACAATGGTAGAGTTTTAACTTCAGCTTATAGATAGAGAAAAACTAGTAAAATCAATAAAAAACACATCTTGACATACAAAACCGATGACGGTGTTCAAGTGTACAAATCCAGGAGGACTCACAAGCGCGCCTATAATCTCTCCCGACCACATTTTCCATAGCAAAAGCTGCTGCTCACTTTCAATTTTCAAATAAAATAAACTTAAAAAAAAAAAATTTAAACTTGTCATCTTTTATTACGAAAATACCTGGTCAGCGACCCCAGCCCACAATCGACCAATCTAAGACAACAATTCCTTCGCGGCAGCTATAACTGCTTCAGCCGTAATCCCAAACTCCTTATATATCTTCCCAGCAGGAGCACTCGCCCCAAACCTATCAATCCCAATCGCCTTCCCCTTAGCTCCCACAATCTTCTCCCACCCGAAAGTCGACCCCGCCTCAATGCTAACCCTAGCCGTAACCGAAGCAGGCAGCACGCTCTCTTTATACTCATCCGACTGCTCGTCAAAAAGCTCCCAACACACAAACGAAACAACCCTCACACCCTTCCCTTCCTTTCTGAGCTCGTCCGCAGCCTTGGCCGCAATCTCCAATTCCGAACCTGTCCCTATCAAAATCACGTCAGGCTTGTTGTCACCAGACGAGTTATCGGAAACTATGTACCCTCCTTTCTCGACCCCTGCAATGGAAGTCCCGGGTAGCTGAGGCAGCTTCTGGCGAGAGAGGGCTAGCACGGAAGGCCGCTTCTTATTGAGAACAGCCACTTTATAAGCACCAGCAGTTTCATTGCCGTCGGCAGGGCGAAGCATGAGGATATTGGGCATGGCCCGGAAGCTGGCGAGGTGCTCGATGGGCTGGTGAGTGGGCCCGTCTTCTCCGAGCCCGATTGAGTCGTGGGTCATTACGTAGATAACGCCGGCCTCTGAGAGAGCGGAGATTCGCATTGCGGCTCGCATGTAGTCGGTGAAGACGAAGAAGGTGGCGCAGTAAGGGATGAGGCCTGGGGAGTGGAGGGCGATTCCGTTGCATATGGCGCCCATGCCGTGTTCGCGGACCCCAAAACGGACGTTGCGCTCTTCTGGGGTGGATTTTTGGAAGTCGCCGAACATTTTGAGGAGGGTCATGTTGGAGGATGCCAGGTCAGCGCTGCCACCGAGGAGGCCTGGGAGGACCTTGGCTAGGGCGTTGAGGTTCTGTTGGGAGAGGTTGCGGGTCGCGTCCCCAGGGGATTCGGGTGTGTATGTCTAAATGAGAGAGAGAGAAAAAAAAATTGATTTAAATAATTTATACGCTCAAGTTAAGAAAAGGTTGAATCAGATCTTGAGAGCTGGCAAACTTGTAGCTGTAGCTCTGGGAAGGCAATTATTTCAGTTCTTCTTATTAAGGATGAGTTCACCAGAAGAAATGACACATTCACATATTCAAGCAAAGGCATATGTATATATCTGGTGCTATTCACAAACTCATTAATGAAGAAGGTATATAACATTCGCATAACAAGGTTAGTAAATGATAGAAAAAAGGCACAAAAGAGCTACTACTCACAGGAAGGGCCTTCTCCCAACCGGCAGGGAGTTCACCAGTGATGATAGATTTCAACTCGGCTGCTTCCTCTGGGTACTTCTTTTCATATTCGGAAAACTTGGCATTCCATTCAGCTTCGAAAGCAGCTCCCCCAGTAACATGTCGGCTCCAATGGCTGCGCCATAGAAAAGAGTACTAAAATGACACGGGATTCTACTGAAAGGAAATATAGTAATCTTTTAATCCGGAAAAGTGAAGCATCCTTACTTCTTCACATCCTCAGGCACGTGGAAAGGCTCATACGGCCATCCGAGGTTTTGTCTAGTGGCTTCGACTTCCTTGGCACCCAAAGCACTTCCATGGACACTGTATGAGTTGGCCTTGTTTGGGGAACCAAAGCCAATTGTTGTAGTAACCTGCTTATAGAAAATAAAAATGATGATGATGATGATGATGATGATGATGATGATGATGATGATGATGATAATAATAATAATAATAATAATAATAAATCGTCAAAGCATCAAAGAATTTGATAAAATTTAAGAAAAATAGGAAGGGAAAAGACCTTGATCAAAGTAGGCTTGTCTTTCACAGCCTTCGCTTCATTGATGGCAGCCCGGATTTCATCATAACCAGTGTTACCGTTCTTCACCCAGATCACGTGCCAGCCGAGAGCCTCGAAACGGGTATCAACATTTTCAGTAAAAGCAATCTCTGTGTCACCATCAATGGAGATGTGGTTGTCATCATAAAAGGCAATCAGCTTTCCGAGCCCCCAGTGTCCAGCAAGGGAGCAGGCTTCATTTGAGATACCCTCCATTTGACAACCATCACCAAGAATGACATATCTGTGCACAAGCCAAAGAAAAAGGCCAAATTAGCTGAATATATCAGTATGAATAATAATTATTGATTAACGAATTAAGAAACAAGCAAACAAGTTCTCTACGTGTAATGGTCGACTATCTCGTTATCTGGTTTGTTATATCTTGCAGCCAAATGCTTCTCTGCAAGCGCCAAACCAACGGCATTGGCAATACCTTGTCCAAGTGGGCCTACAGAAAGGTAAAATAGGGAGAGTAAATTCATATTCAAAGATTTCAATTCAATGTGCTATTAACTGAACATATATTTCAGAAAATAATTCTAACCAGTGGTGACTTCAACACCAGGAGTCTCAAAGTTCTCTGGATGACCAGGCGTCTTGCTTCCCCACTGACGGAAACCCTTCAAGTCCTCTTCCTGTAGAAGTACACAATTTTCAGCTAAGAAACATATGAAACACTCAAAACAAACTCTTTCTCTATACAGATAACAAAATCAACAAGAATATCAGTTAACCAAAATAATAGTCTTCAAAATTTGTCTCACAATAATGAAGAAGGAAAATTGAACCCAGATCACAGATCCATAACTGAAAGTGACATACATAACCAATCAATCACCATTTAGATCCATCTCCCGTTAATACTAGTAGGAAACAGCTTATCAAGCAGTTGTTCGTCAAAGGCATAAAATAGTAATCAGAAGCAAATCATAAGCCAAAAGATTCTACCTTGACGGCGTCGTATCCGGCCAGGTGAAGAAGTGCGTACTGTAGCATACACCCATGGCCAGCGGAGAGCACAAACCGGTCACGATTGAACCAATAGGGATTCTTGGGGTTGTACCTCATAACCTCATCATACAGTATGTGACCCATCGGGGCACATCCCATGGGCAGGCCCGGGTGACCCGAATTCGCCTTCTCGACGGCGTCAATCGCCAGAAACCGGATGGTATTGACGGACTTCTCGACGAGCTCGGTGTCGGTTGTTTTCTCGAGGGTCTCGACGGCAGCGGAGGCTCGGACTGGCAGTCGGGTTAAGGCGGTGGCGGCGCGGCGGCGGGCAGAGGTTGAGGCGGTGGATTTGAGGCCGGAGAAGGAGGGGACGGAGATGGCGGAGGAGGTGGAAACGGGGTAGAGCTGCTGGGCGGGAGAGCCATGGCGGGGGATGGCCGAGCGGGAGAGGATAGCTTGAGAGAGTGTGAGGGAAGAAGATGAAGCCATGGCTCTGTGCTTTGTGAGGCTGTGTGTGTGTTCCTTCTAACTTCGTGTGTGTCGAAAAATGGATGGGGCATTTTGAAGATAAAAGAAAATATGAGGTGCGAATAAAGTTGCCAAAATATTATAATATTTATTTTTATCCTAATATTGATTTATTTTCGGGATTTAAATTTAATGGAAAAACTCATTTTCTTTACGGATGAAATTCTTGAATTTTGGATTGGAATTTGAGCCGAATATCCAATTACTATTTATCTTTTCTTTTATTTGATTTTTTCATAAATTAGAATTTCAATCAAGTGGTCTACCATATAATGTAGCTATATCATTCTAGAAACAAAATAAAATATTAATCCGGCTTAGACTACATTGATATGTGAAAAATATAGCCAATGATGCTATAAGACAATAACACCCATAAAAATTATGAAAACTACATAAAATTAATATTATATCCAACTCTTATTCTAGGTATAGTAATTAATAGCGAATAATCAAGTATTCATATTGATTGGAAGAAACTATAATACAATATAACCAATTTGATTTTACAATTATGTTGAGCGAACCATGGTGGCGACCTTAGAGCCTAGAAAATTGTACAAGACAAAACCTAAAACACAATTTTGGAGTCATATTAACTAAGTAATTTGAAATGTCACATTTTTTTAAATAAAAATTATATATTTTACATTGCAAAATACTATTTTGCTTCTCATTAAAATGTATTTTGAAACATGTATATTTATTGTAAGATCATGTACATGTGTTTTAAAAGTACGGTTACTCAACAGTTTGCTTAAAATATCTTCAAATAATAAAAGCTAAATGTAAATATTAGCTTTCAAATCGTTTGACATATACAGATTTTACTCCCACACAAAAATGTTTGCCCTTTGGCCTTTCCTCTAGTTGTTAAGTTTGAATAGGATAAAATTGGATGGACCTTATTTATTCTTATTTATTTGGTGAACTTTTGAACACAGCAAAGGTGCTGGCTTATCGTGTTAACTGTTAACTAAAGCTATATTAACTATTGTACCAAAAATAAAAAAGATATATTATCTATCTTATTTAAATAGTTCAATTTGTGTGGGTGTAGGTTGGACTGCGACAGGATCATTTATTCGTCTTTTCAACAACGTTCGAAATTCGAATAATAAAAGCAGCAAATTATAGGCTAGCCTTCTCATTCCATTGTGCCCTAGGATTAGAGAGACTGGAATTTTGCCAAGGCAATTGTTGGGCCACTCACTTACAGTCAATAATGCTAAGGAGCCAACTGTTGGCTCCGTTACGGAGCCAACATCCAATGAGATAGCTCCATTTGGGGCTGTCCCACATTAGACTCATGTGGGACAGCCCAACATGGAGCTGTCCTATTGGTTGTTGGCTCCATAACGGAGCCAACAGTTGGCTCCATATCATTACTCCACTTACAGTAACAAGAATTATTAGTTAAGAAAAAAGGAGTAGGTGAGCAATTTTAATATATTATTTTTACTGACCATGCTTTAGGTGAGCGATTTTAATATTATTTTTACTGACCTTGCTTTCAGTCCAGTAAGGAGAGGTAGGTGTTAGAAGTTAGAACCAAATTTGAAAGTGCCCCATAACTGGTTTGGCTAAAAGAGGAGCGCTTTTACGTGCAAACACAAAAAATTGCTTTAGCGTCACAGATCAATTCTTTTTCTGGAAAAAACAAACTTATCTGTTATCGCCATTAATGAACATTCACAACATTCACTATTTATTTTAAACTATATTATGCCTCTGAAGTTCTTAGTCGCACGTCATAGGACTTATTTTCGCTAATAGAAAGCCTACATTATAATAACTCTTTTATAGTTTGAAGATGAATTTTGAATACCTCTACTTGTCACTGCACATGGGGCTAAGTCTGCTCGCATGGATGGTGACTTGTCGATATATGCATGCCTCTCGTTACCATTTCTGGTACAGTATGACCCGATTTGTTGAAGCATGTGCCAAACTGTCACCTGTCGAGTAATGTTTTGCATGTCTGGAGAATGCATGCATATATATACATGGAAAAGAATGTAAGAAATACATAGAAAACAATGTAAGAATATGATAATGAAAATGAATTCTTACTTGAGCGCTGGTATGACCTGTAGAAAGCAACAATCACTGTCCTTATTCAGTTCTTACTTTGAACATGTTAGAAGCTCATATACTCTCTTTTTAGGATCTTCGGAGTTCTTTTAGCAAAAAATGTCAACAGGTAAATTACTGGTGTTCAAAATTTACACGGAGTTTAAATGTCCTTACAGCCAAATTGAACTTCTTCGCCAGTTTCATCAGTTTCAGTGCAATACAAGAAAGTACTCGAGTTCTGTGAGCCACATCGAAATCTTGACGAAAGTGGAATATGATGTTATCAATAATGACAACCTTGGCCTGAAAAACAGCACACGCCTTGATGTGTGAAACAATGCACAAAAACAAATATACATGTTTGGACCACCACATGATTCGCTATACTCACATCTTTATGATCATTGATAAATTTTTTCATGTAATTTATGTTCGCTAATTATTTTCGCTATCCGCAAGTGTACGGAGTAACTATAGGTAGTGGCGAGCAAGGTCGTATTCCACAGAGATTGTAGTTAAATTAATTAAGTACTAAAATAATGACGACTAAATATTATCTAGACTAATGAATTGGATGATGATTATTAACTAAGAAATTAAACTAAGAACTAATCTAACTAAAAATAAAAATAAAAATAAACAAAGAAACAAAAGTAGATTCTAGGCTAAGCGTTCCTCGGAATTAATTCATGAAACGTTTATATTCAAACAAACCTTATTTAATTTTACCAATCGTAGAGATAATCGCTAAATTGATTTCAAACCTTTCTCTCGAACAAGTCAAATCGTAGATATTAATTGTATCTATCTCCTCTCGGTCTCAAGATGAACAACTAACTCCCATAAGTTCCTAGGATTTTCGTTCTCTCGCAAGGTCCTATCAACCTCTCGGTCTGTTTATTCTCTTACGTTATAAATTACCCAATTCTAGCAATCAATTATCTCCTCTCGGTCTCAAATCTATTACAAATATGTATTCATAGTGGCCATCTACTCACACAATAAAAATAAGCACAAGAAATTCATAAACGAAAGATAAACCAGAATGGAAGAAATAAAAACTAAATCATAAATTAATCCGAGTACTAACAAATCCTAGAATCTAATATAAATCTAGCCTAGAAACATGATTTCAAAATAATAAAAATAGATATAAAACATTGAGTTCGAAAGAGGAAAAGAAAAAGAAAGAAAAAGCTTATTCGGCTCCGTCGATCCTTTTTTCCCGGCTTTCTCCCTTGTCTTGCTCGTGTTTCTAGCCTCCAAGAGTCTCCAAAGATGTGAAAATTATGTTCAAGACCCCTCAAAAACGTGTCCTAGTGTCTCTTAAATAGTTGGGGTCGAGTCCTAGTCGAAATAGGTCGAAAAACTCGTCAAAATAGGAAAAACCCGTAAAAGTCGATTTTGTTGCGTCCAGGGTCACACGACTCGTGTCATAGGCCACACGAGTCGTGTGACAATGCCGAGAGCTCAATTCACGACCCGTCGGACGACACGACCCGTGTCTCGGGCTCACACGAGCCGTGTGAAACTGGGCGTCTAAAACTCCCTTTTGGTCGCGGTTTTCGTCTCCTGGTGTGCTCTACGTCATCTCATACATCGTAAAGGTTTTCTGGACGACTTATTTCCGATTCTTAGCGCGTCTCCGGCTAGTTCTGGCAACTTCCGGCCACCTGCTTTTCCTCCGGCGTGGACAGCGATCAGAAACTCCTCGGTGGCTTTCAACTGTTCTGGACGGATATCTGGTTGTAGGGACGGAGGTCTGATCGGCGGCGTGACATCGTAGACGAGCAGCGAAGCTCCTCGCAGGCCGCAGCTCTTTCATGGCGGATGTCAATGTCTGTTACGTGAAATGCTAGAGGAGGGTGATGATGGCTTGCTGGCAAAAGACTAATCTACCGTTACTTAAATGGATTTTGGGCCACCAAATGCATAACATCTCCAATTGGGCCTTTTCTTTGTCATTCAAAGTACTGCGGCCCAACAAACATGACCAACTTTTATTCCAAGTAGTGGGCTATGTCCCAATCTATTTCGTCTTGCCCGATTTGCGTCCGTTTTCACCACCAAAAATTATTTCGAACCTATTTTCTGTCAAAACTCAAAATAATACACCTTCATCATAGCTTAATAAAATTAATTAAATAAATAATTAATTAAATAATAATCAATTAAATATAATTAATTAAATATCAAACTATGACGAAACGGACACGAAAATCACTATAAAATGCACGTAAATATGACGCATGTCAATTTACCATGGCAATTTGCTCAATGTAAGTGCATGTGCGGAAGTAGAATATATTTTCCATAAAAGATATTGCCTGCTTATCTGCTAAACTGGCTTAGGAATCCTTCCTCAGCAAGCTATTGTATTCCAGCATGTCCTCTGCACAAGTCTGCTATTTGCAGGACATGCTCGACCATGAAACTGACTTATGTGTCTGAGCATCACATAATGCAATGCTATACTATAAGCTCAATGGTTGATGCAATGCTATACTATAAGCTCAATGGCGAAGAGATCATTTATAGCATTTAGATATAAAGAATAACCTGCTATTTAACATATCCCAACAGTTATAGACCTATATAAATTGCCTTTCCCCCTAGGCCACTGCAATCAGCTGGAATTTGAACATTAACTGCCAGTCGAATCCTACATTTATCAAAATTTAAGAAACAAAATTACAACTATTCAAATCTCAAACTGAACGGCAAAGATAGTAGATTGGGAAAAAATCGTCACCCAAGCTGCATTTTACCGATACCTGAAACTCCACCTAGTAAAATCAGGAACTCAACCATAGTAAAAATATACGGGAAAATCGGAGTAATCCAGTATACTTGTATATAACCATATAGGGTAAAAAAGTTTCAGAGACCAACCAATTTCAGTAACTTCTTTACAGAGAATTCTAACACGAAAGGATTTCATCCAAATCCGAGCAAGAAGTGGTGATGCATAAAGAAGATTCTCCTCATGCAAGATATCCCATGCTGTCTGTGCTTCTAAACAAAGTGAAATTGTTAGAACTTATGGATCCACAAATACTTCACCTCCAGAAACCGATGCCTCCGACAACATTAAGATAACATTATACGGTTGTATTTAGACAGAATGATTCGGATTTCGTAGAGGATTTCAGGGAATAATTTGAAATGAATCTAAATGTCTCAAAAGATGGGTATCAATGATTTCATGTTCACTATACAACTCCATCCAAACAACCTCAACCAATTTATGATCGCAGATTTGAAATTCACAAGTTCAGAACCATCAATACAAATCACCTCAGTAACTATTGATTACCTAAATCCTTTTCTGAAAAGAAGCTAATAATAACTTTCCGTTTTCCATTTTCTTTCAAACATTCGTAATCCAACAATATCTTCAATATGCCACAACAACAAATCAACATACGAAGAACAGAAAGTTGATTTTACCATTAATCGCGCGATCTCCATTCTCAATCTCGTTCAGCTCATTCCTCGCCTAAGCAAGCGTCAAAACTCCACCGGCTCATTTTCCGAACCTTCAAATCTAAGCCATCTCCACCGGTCAAAGCATCGTGAGAAACTACACGGTTGAAGATTACGCTCGCCGGCGTCGCCGCCAGTGTACATACAGATGAATACAGAGAAATTAGCGTTACCTTAAGCTAGCTTGAAATGAGCTATCGAGCATAGAGACGAGAGAGACGCGTAGCCTGCTTACATCAATTTTCCTCTGCGTGAAAGCTGAAATCGGTAGAGACGATATCTCCATTTTCACACAATCAGTGCGCGTACTGTGTGAGTGTCCGGGTTTTTGCGATTATTCTTTGGAGCTTTCGCGCGCTGTGTGTTTGTGATTAATCAGGTTTTGAGGTAGCGGGTGTATTTTGTAATGGAAAGGAATTGAATGGGCCTTTTATACATATTATAAAAGGGCCCATGTGATAGGGTCCAACATTACGGGAGCAATTGTATATTGTGTTCGAGTGACATTTTTCTTATTTGTAGAAGAAATGAATCTATACTAATTAATTTAATATAAATTAATTTAATATGAAGTATAACAACTGATAAATAAAAATAGTAAAAATTTTAATTTATACTTATAAATTTATTAGAGAAACAATAAAATAATAATTGATAATTATGAATATGGTAGAGGAAAAATTAATGATTGATAATTATAAGTTTGTGGAATTATAAACAATAAATTTTATAAATAAAGACATAGTGATGATTAATTTTTAATATAAAAGTTGCATTGAAAAAGTATGACAGGAAAAAAAAAGATGGACAAATATTCTATATACGTGAGATGAGATAATGAGTTATAATATGCATCCAATTGCACACTTACTTTTTAGGGAAAAAAAAATGTTTTAATTCATTGTAGATTCTAGGTTGTTTTTATGTTCAGGCATTTTCTATCATGTATTTGATCATTTGGTGTGATTCAAAATCTCATTATTATCATTTTATACCCCATTCATCCTTGAGGCAATTTTTTTAAAAACATGTTGGGAACAAGAGAAGTACATTAAGAAGGTAAAAATGACCCAAATGCCAAAATAGTGAAAATTTCATCTATGAGGGAGAATGGATCCACACAACATATTACACCCCAAAACCAAAACCAAAACCAAACATTGAGTTTGATTTAATTTATACACTTAGTTCCTCTTTCTTTCTTTATTATGATCTATATGTTAAAGAATATTAGGGTAAACGAATGACCGAACAGAAGATCAAAACCTAGCAAAAGTTTTGAGCTTCGAAGACTACGATAATGGTTGATGTTGAGGCGATGCTTGGATTATAGAGGTTAGTGATGGATGAACTCTCGCTGTTTTTAATGACCGGGCCTCACTCCTTCCTTGTGCGTACTCCTCGCCCAAAGGCCACCTTGGCCGCAAATCAAGCTGTTTCATTTACTCAAACTTATCAGAGAGAGAGAGAGAGAGAGAACAATAGCACCTAATTGTGGTAATCAAGAATAAATATGAAACTAAAGACATGGTTCGATTAGATATGCAATGACATTTTTCATCTTTTGTTGCATCTGAAAGTTTAACAGACGCAGTTTTTTTGTACGCAAAAGTAACCTTTTGAGAGTAGTTTACCAAAAGAGAAAAGAAGACAAACCCGAGCATCTTCAGGTTCACAGGCGGGTGGCGGTGGATCGTATCTTCCCATACGGAAGTGCTCGATTCCGGTCCAAGCAATCATTACACCTTTCGTGAAAAGTGAAAACAAAGGCATGAAAACTGTTAAAAAATGGGACTTCAGGATCAGTTTGCTTCGGAGAACATGAGACTTGCATTTCCAAATAAATTGTTGGCCAAAAAAAAAAAAAAAAAGGAATTATGTTAACCATTGTCGGTACAAAGGCTTGGAGGAGGACAAACGAGCTACAGGCCTTTCTTTTTGACTATCTTATCTAGCTGAGACCTCACGTACTGATTAGATGCAACACCTCCAGAGACCACCTGTACAAGATAAATGTTAATGTAGCATTGAAGATCAGCAAATTTTTCATGCTCCCAAATGATCTTTGGGGAGAGAAAATAAATAATGAATAACAAAATTAACACCAACCAAATACTTTATACAAGGCTCCATATTCAACGCCCATTCAATTGCTCGTTCGCATTTGTCCTCTTAATGCAACACTGCAATTCTCTATAAATCAAAAGATGTTTGTGAATCTTTCTAAGGAAATAATAAGAATGGCATTAAGTAGGTTTACTTTCATCATCCTCAAGTAATAAGCACATAAATCGGAATTCAAGGTAATACAAGGGGGTACTTTTTATATATTAAGGTAGTATTTGTAACTTTAGAATAATGATTTTCTTTCAAGTTTAGCCTCAAGGGTCATTTTTTGCAATTATACCAAGAATAGTTATTATTACCTGGAAAGAGGCCCGAGCCTTTCTGTCTTCACTATTAGCCGAAGCAATGGGAACTGAAGCATCACTACACACCAACAAAGAAGTATTAAGCTTTCGTGAGTATCAATATAAACACATTTGTGTTATTCAAATGTAAATTCATACTACAATAAGTTTTTACAGTGATCTATACGGCTTAGTAGCAAAAAAAATTAATGCCTGACAAATATATTACATGTTTTTGGATTCGATAGCCAGCTTCACTTGAGTTTTGAGACCTGCGTACGAGAAATTGCAGTCTTTATGCTGTTTCATGGGGACCTATGGGATAGATATCACAACATTAAGCNTACAAATACTACCTTTGAGAATTGACCTAATTATAAAAAGAGGAAAAAAGAAATATAAATTCAAAAATGCCGTTTTTGAGTTTGTATTTGGGATATTGTGCGCTTGGACCAAAAAAACTAAAAATGCACAGCTCGTAATCGAATCCAACTCCAAATGATAGTAATCACAAAAGGTTTTTATAAGGTAGCTAGCCTTGAACGTGATAGATTTTTCATCACCCTCACAAGCCAGCTCCTCCACAGCAGGGCCTCCACTCTTGCTCATGTCGAGACCAAGCCATTTTGCTGTCTTGTCATATGCCTCACCAATTGCATCATCTATTGTTGTCCCGAGTTGTATATAGTGGCCAAGATCACGGGCCAGGATAAGAAGATTATGGCCACCTATGTAAACAGGGAAAAATATACTTCGTAAAGTTTTCACGATGCCTAGCAAACTAATCTGAGTGAGAGATATTTTAATAAAGAAATTTATGTGCAGATATCGTCATACCTGAGACGAGTGAGGCCATGAAAGGAAACTGTAACTGTTTCTCGAGTAACCTGGATTGAAATACATTACGTCTTCAACAAGGCATAACGTTGGTAAAAAATAGGATCTTAATATAAGTTTTTATTAAAATAATCCAATCACAACTCAAATTTAACTCTACTCCACTATCCTCAATATTATCAATATAATTAAATAATACCAATCAATCATCCTTACACATCACAACATCTTTAATTCACTATTCATCACTCACATAATTTTAACTACTCGTCACTTCCAATTACCTCTCTTCTACTTTCATTTTGTTTTAAATATTATTTTAATACAAACTCAAAATCTTACTCAAACCTACAAAAAAAAAAAAAAAAATTGTATCCAAGCAAACCTTCAGTCATATTTTGTTGAAAGAAGAAGATGATATGATGAAGGTTGATCTTGAAGGAAAAAAACAAAATAACCACTCCAATGTTTCCAATAATTAAGCACCATCTCGTATTAACCAACAGATCAAGACAACGGACTCATTTTTCTTTTGAACTTTTTTTCTAAACGCCAAACAATTTTCAAAAATTTCATCATTGCCTTGCTACTAAAGCATGGGCTTCCATATGATGAACACCAACAATGGGTAAAGTATACGCACCAGCAAGCTTCCGAGCTTTCCTCACACCAACTACAGGAAATGTAATAAATACAAGCTAAAGGGTTTTTCTCCCAGCATTGAGGTTAAACCGAAAGTCTGATATGACCCAAATAAGGTGCCCAACTTTAGGCAACAAAAGTTGCGGTGCATAAAATCAAATGAAAACTTTCACGAATATGCCAAATAGTGTATGGACTATGGAGAAGGTCATATCTATTTACCCAACCAACTTAATCCAAGAACAAAAATAACGTTCATGAAAAGGGTCAAAGAACAAAATAAAAGGTCAAAATAAAGAAAAGAAAAGAAAAAAAAAAAAAGAGGAAACAAAATATAAACAGAAGACCGAGCAACAAAAGTACCACGCAGACAGAGGCTCAATCCCGGACCAATGGTAACAGCCACTGCAGAAAGATCTTCCTCTGATACATTAGCTTTATCGAGCCTCTTGCACTACCTTTATACACAGAAACGCCCTAGGTATGAGGGGATAATAAATCATAAACAGAACTAAGATTGAAATAATTATCAATATTTAACAGTCATCTGTCAGTGAATGCATTAATCACAGTTTTAGATGTCCACGGCAAAGCGATATAGACAGATAACAAAATTACGAGTAGAAAAAAACAATGCTAAGCTTTAAAGAAAAAAATCCAACAAACAGTGCTAATATGAAGAATAAATCTTTGGCATGATGCAGTCGAGCATGTTTTAATGAATACAATACGATATATTATGAAAATATGCATCCACTTAATAAGAACAAGATTCATTACCAAGCCGACAGGTTTGTACCTGATCATCACTTGAACGTGTGCTTCGTCAGTCATTTTTGGAGCAACACCTCCGTATTGGACTAGCAGTTCTGCCTTGATGGAGTAAATTTATATAAAAAGTATAACAAATACAGATTTGAACGACATCTCAAAGTATTCCGTATAGATAATACTAATAATCATATATCATCACACAATAGAAGAAGTCAATGTTAAGTTTGCTAGGCAATCAACCACGGATAGCCTCAAGATGTAAAAGATGAACAAACAACCAAAGAAAGAACACAATCCAAATTCGACCGCATTCAATCGTGT